GGAGTTACAATTGCGGATCGGTAAGGTCGAACATTTATACGATTCATACGATGAGGTGCAGTTGAAAATTGAGTGCGCGTGTGATGATGATTCGCAAGTTAGTGAACGGAGTGAGTTTGAAGGAAATTATTATCGCGCCCTTGCTAAGGCACAAGAAATTCTAGACAGTTATCGTAAGTCACAAGATAATTATCTAGATGCGCAATCAATCGGTAGTCGTTCCAACAATCATCAACTTGTTAAATTGCCCACGATACAACTGCCAAAATTTAGTGGTTCATATGAGACTTGGATGGAGTTTCACGATACCTTCTCCAGTTTAATTGACAATAACGATCAAATTGATGAGGTAAATAAATTCCACTATTTAAGGGCTTCCTTGGAAGGGTCAGCTGCTGTGGTAATTAATTCCATTGAGTTTTCGGCTAAAAACTATTCTGTTGCGTGGAAACTCTTGTGTGATCGTTTTGATAACAAACGTTTATTGATACAAAATCACATTTCAGCTTTANAATTATTATCGCGCCCTTGCTAAAGCACAAGAAATTCTAGACAGTTACCGTAAGTCCCAAGATAATTATCTAGATGCGCAATCAATCGGTAGTCGTTCCAACAATCATCAACTTGTTAAATTGCCCACGATACAACTGCCTAAATTTAGTGGTTCATATGACACTTGGATGGAGTTTCACGATACCTTCTCCAGTTTGATTGACAATAACGATCAAATTGATGAGGTAAATAAATTCCACTATTTAAGGGCATCTTTGGAAGGGTCAGCTGCTGTGGTAATTAATTCCATTGAGTTTTCAGCTAAAAACTATTCTGTTGCGTGGAAACTCTTGTGTGATCGTTTTGATAACAAACGTTTATTGATACAAAATCACATTTCAGCTTTATTCAACATTGAATCGATCACAAGAGAATCCTCGATTAATTTAAAGGGAATTATCGATCAGGTTAATAAGAATTTGCGGTCCTTAGAATCCCAAGGAGAACCTGTCGATCATTGGGATACATTGTTAATTTATATTATCACAAAAAAGTTAGACTCTAAAACATATCGTGAGTGGGAGGAACACAAGAGTTCATTGCCTAATGATAAGCCAATAAGTCTAGAATTCTTGCTTAGTTTTATACGTAATCGCGCAGACTTACTTGAGACTATTGAACTATCACAAAATAATATCATGTCAAAGAGCAAACCTGCAACTAAAATAACCCTTCATTTGGTACTGATGCTTCCAGGCAACAACTACTTTGAAAAAATCTACAGCGCTAAATAATATTTTTTATGCCAATCATTCGATTTTGTTACAAAGCTAAACTCAGCACAACAGTACTAAATCGGTCGTCGACTGAGTTTTAAGCGATTTCACATCACTATTTCTGTCAAACGTCAAGATGCCGGGCGGAGTGAACAACAGAGCTGTAAGTTTTATGATTTTATACTATTTTATGACTTCCAAGTGATTATGTTTTAGCTAAATTTTGTTCATAATAAACCAAACTAATCATATCAAGCAATATTTGGGGTAAAAACTGTGTTTACTAATACATAATATGCTACCTAACCTCACTGTTGCTCAGAAGCATCAGTGCCAAAGACCTAACAAATTAGCATTTTTTTTAGTTGATGCTTCGAAGCAACATTGCCAAAGACTGTACAAAGTAGTAGTTTTATGTTTGACTAGCTTCCGCCTGTGGCTTTGCCTGTCAGAACTAGTATTTTTATCCAACGGGAACCGTGCATTATCCCGGGTTGAGGAGTCTATGTGCAAATGTTATAAATACTTAAGTGTGTGTGTCTGTCTGTGTTCTGTTTTCCCTTCTTCAAGCTTATATTGCTGAACCGATTTAGATAAAATTTTGTGCATATAGAGATAATTAAGTAATCTCCCCATAGGGGATATTTAGTATTAAAAGCAATTATTAAATATAATATTTAGCGCAAGTGGAGCCGCGGGGGAATGTTCTAGTTTATATTAATATGTTATTCTAAAGGCATTGATCACAATAAGTACTGACGCCAACAAATCAATCTCCATTAGATGTGGAATTCAATAATAATTTGAACGTAAGTATGAGTAATATGGAATAACCTGTAGCTTATCTATAAATCTGTTAATTTTGAGTAAGTTGATATGGTGGCGACTGTACAAAATTATTTTGAAATCTACTAATAGGACGTAATAAAATAATACAATGCAAATGCACTGCAATGCAATTTTGTTTTGGCTTTTTGGATTTTTGTTTGAATGGGCTTGGCTTTTGTTTGCACGTAATTTCTTTGTTCGTAGGTACTATCGGGGACTCTTCCGCCCTCAGATCATAGAAGGGAATAGATGTGAAACGGGGGCGTGGCGCGTGTCTCCGCGATATGCCCAGAAACGAACATCGCCCGCGACGCCAGGTTAGTCGCGATTCAGTCGTACTGAGGAAATGTTCTCCGATATTGTTGGATAATGTGTCGTAACGTGCNCCGTTGCTCCCAGAAGAAGACGTTTCGGTTGAAGGACGAGCCTTCGACGCGCGGGGGCATGTTCGCGATCGCGAGTGATATAAAACCTATTTGGATATTGTGACAGTGAAAAATCATACGGCTTTCTTTTGTTTTACTCTCTGTCGGTTGGATTCGATCAGTACACAAGTCTGTTGAAATTATTTCGCATTTTTACTTTAAAATATACCTGATTCCCTTCACACAATACCTTATTTGATTCATTAAGTGGGATAAAAATTGGGACATGACGCGGCCGTTCCAAAACACGAACGAAGATTAAGTGATTATGCATGTGAATAGAGGAACAATAACGGAACAATCATGCGCACATCGTAAGCTATAACCGGGGCAGATAGCAGGTGGCACAATAATGGAGCCAATATACTCTCGTTTGTTCGACATAGACGTGTGAGCACACAAACAAGTGAGGCGTTCCGATTTTTTGCTCTCACACATCATTTGAATGCCGATAACGGCATGCCGGTGCTTGCTCATCAGGCCTTATTTGGAAAAAATACTCTCACCGCGAAAAGGAAAACTTGACCGCGTCTATTATATTAACACAAGTTAGTGGAACGCGCCTTGACCTCTTAACCGAACAGCATTCGTATTATAAAAGATGATTCGTGTTTTATGAAACGATTGGACCTATTTGCTCGGTTTTTATCGGCTAACACTCACGTCGAAGCGATATTATCGCGATCAGATAAGATAAAATCTCTGTCGCTTGTACGACAAGGGATGATCCATATATTTAGATTTATAATTACCTCGCGATTACGGCTAATAGGCATACATGAAGTCGATACACGCATTATATTAAGACGGTAATTAAAATAACTGCATAGTGCATACGCTATACTAAACCAGAATAAAGTCAATAGCGGTTGGTGAATCAAATACTGAAAACATTAATAGCGAAATAGGCGTGTGGATCCAATTACACCGCCCGTGCCTAGACGTAGACTGGATTCGCTAAGGTTGAACGCCTCTTTACCCAGAACACTTATGTTGGAGCATGAAGAATTTAATGATGATATGCGTGTTTAATAGAAAACGTCCTTATTCTTGCATTTAGAAATAATAATGCCCAATAATATCGCTAATGTATCCGGGTTTGTAATTCTATGCACCGACAATTTACAATACATGGTCAAGTCAAGAGTCATGAGATGATAATAATAATACATGATAACGTTGTTGTTATTTTACGAGCTAGTGAAATAAGAGAAGATTCAAATCAGTGCCTTAAAAACTTTATTACATTTTGATAATCTTTAACATCGAATAACAAATCAAAATACGCTACAGGAACCGCGTCTTTATTCCTAAGACCATACCTTTCAAAATGCTTTACAATCTAGTATAACAAACGTGTTCATTACAGGTGCTCTAACAAAATCCCAGTTCCCTGTCTTCACGATCTACGCCCAGAAGTCATGCCTGGGAGTCAGGCCTTGCGAGCGCGCGTGGTGCTTCGACCGCGTCCGAGGGTACCACCTGAAGGGAAGAGGCAAGAGGACCCACACCGTTGGATCTAGGCAGATGTGCTTGGACCTCTGTCTAGGGGAGAACGAGTTTGTTTGCAGGTTTGTATTTAAAATGTGTGAATTTAGTGATAGTGCTTTTTTGAATCGCCCGTCTTTGGAACGTCACTTTAAAAAAGTGTATCGGGGATTGATTGGACATTGACTTCGAAAAAATTGGCACCTTTTGTGACATTTTATTAAAGCTAGGTATGTGTAAAAAATATAAAATGTAACTGTCAATAACCATGGTTTGAAGGAATAAAGCCCAGCAAGCCTATGACAGTTCATACTTTTCTCATGGATATAAACATAAAACGTATGCACCAAAGCGAAACCACAATAGAAGGAAGTGGTAGAAAATTATTAAAATCGCCTCCATTCCTTATAGCATCGAGCGGTTACAAGTTGTCCCCCACAGACTATACCGGCAAGTCCGCATTGCACATATAAAACATCAGAATAGTAATATTCAGAAGTATTCCAATAAACAGTCAACGGGAATATTTACGGCAGGTGAATTTTACGACTAACGAAGTCCGACTATAAAAATAGGCGTGTACAGTATCTTATATTTAGAAAAGGAAAAGCTAGATTTATACTATGATTCACGTAGTATGTTAAGTCAATTCAATTCAAAAGGCAAGGAACCAGAGGATCTGCGCCATTACTCTTACAGAGCCTATCATAGTTGCTGCACGGCTTCTAGTATGATTGCCGGGAATATGGAAATTTTAAGAGCTCTTCCTTGTATCAGCTTATGAAGTTATTAACCATGAATATATTCTGTATGAATGCGTTGACGAGTTATTTATGGAGGAAGCGAGTAAATCCGAGTACGTAGATAAATTAAAAGTGCACAAGAAATGTACAAAGTAGAGCTTTCTATGGGCGGAGTGAGACATGAATGACCCGCGAGCTCCTTGCCCCGACACGACCTACAGTGCGCGACTCCCCAGACGTTTAAAACGCTAGCCATTAGTGCAAATAGGTATCACTATGTTTATTAATGCGTATTTAAACTCGCCAACTGTAATCTAAATATATAAAAGGAGAAACTGACTGACTGACTGACATATCAACGCACAGGCCTAAACGGCTAAACGTAGGCACTTGAAATTTGGAAGGTACCGTAGAGGTGCACTAAGAAAGGAATTCCCGAAATTCCCACGGAAACGGGAATTAGCGGGAAAAAAAATTTGTATGAAAAAATCTAAACCGCGTAAGATAGACGAAGGGGGTAAAACGGGATCCACGCGTACGAAGTCGCGGGCGGCCGCTAGTGCAATATTAAATAGACTACAGAAAACGACTAAACGGAGCTTAATTAGCGGAATTTCTACAGATGCTTCTTTTTATCAACCATGCTTAAGGCTTTGTAATTCCATGAAAAACAATAAAAGCAGTATATCAAGGCAGAGCAGCAGCGCACGCCCATTCTAATCACTAATTAACAATCCAGAGGTATCATTGCAAATAGTTGGGTAATTAAAATTACGAAACTTAATTATATCGGATCGGATTGGAGATACTTTAATGTGAAACGTAATTCGCGAGCAATTAGGACGATTAAATTAGGTACTATAAAGAGCGATATCAATAATGAAACGGATAGTTAATGCAGTTTATCTCCAGGAAATTAATTAAGGATTGCGAAGTATTTCATACGCTTCTAAGAAGATATATTTATTTACATACATTTACGAGCGTGTTTAGTTAGGACTAAAAGAAGTTTAGACGTACTACTCAATACAGTCGCACTAATCGAACAGACACAGCGCGTCATGACTTTTAGTACGAGAGCCCACGACCAAAATTTTTGTCTCATAGCAATACGGCCAAAACCGCATCAAATCGATAGATACGATTATCCTGAACTCGAAAATACCAATATCAGACATTTTCCGCGTAGCGTTTGATCTGACCGAATTTTCAAAATTGTCAAAGAATTTTACCGAACTGCATCATAGCAATATGTCTGATTTGCAGACTGTAGTTGAATGATAGTTCTGAGATACCGGAAACATTATTTTCAGACGTTAGTGGTGTAGCGCAAACCCGTAAAATCATTTAAAAAAATTAAAAATGAGACAAAAAAAATGTCTCATAGTAATACGTCTGAAAATCTTTTTTATTAGTAAATTTTGGTTATTTGATGCGAACAAAACAATTTTCAGACGGAAATGTGAACGCATTAAATTTTGAGACCGTTTTGAAAATGTTAACAAATTTTACCGATCCGTATCATAGCAATATGTCTGAAAATTGTTGGACATGATAAAATAAGTTGTCCACATGTGCAAAAAATTTATATCAGACAAATTAAGTGTAGCACCTTCTCTATCATACAACTTTTTGATACACTTAAAGTGTCTGAAAACAGGTTTTTGGTAATCATGGCAGCAATACGAAAAGTTAAAAAAAATAATTATCCGTATTGCTATGATACAGTCCGGCTAAATTTGTTGACATTTTCAAAAATGCGCACAGGCTATATGCTACGCGGAAAATTTCTGAAAACAAACTTTTTCGTAATACAATTATAGAATCTATGTACATTTTCACTATCAGACGTATTGCTATAATACCGACTGTCTTTTTTTTTGACACAGCAGAAATGGCCTCCTACTCAGTTGCTACACTTTCGACCGTTACAACACACCTAATCTAACAATTTTATAGGGTTTTTGCCGTATTGCTATGACACATGGTTTTATGACCATTTATTGTTGTCTTTGGACGAAGGGTTTCATATTTCTCGATTCAATTTCGACCGTGTGAAACTCGGACACTACGTACGGTTATGTGTATGTTTTAAGTCATCATTCATTTACGGTACAACAAAGTCAATCAATTCGCTTCAAGATTTCAGCGAGTCGCTATAAATGGTGTTCGCTCGGTACAGCGCCAGTGCAGATAAGTCACGGCTCTTCCTGGTAACTGTTTGGTTTCTGAATTCTACAAACGAGCATTATATACAAAGCAGGGAGGCCAATTGCGCTGGCCGCGTCTCAGGCGTCTAATGTACCAAGACATGACTGTCCTATTGTGTTTATTTCCTTGTAAGGTTTTTGATATCATTAACATAAATAGTATAGCAGGTTTGACGCTCACATTCGATACACGTATTTCTGATGGCGAGTTTAGTTGAACAACGTTGTTAGTTACTTCCATAACTGCATGTCTTTGTATAATGACCGTCATCGACAGAAAAAATGATTTAATTTTTCCGGTTAGATTTTTAAGGATTAAGCTCATAGGATGTTATGTATGCATTACGGCTTAACTTTAAAGTACAATGAATAAGTAAGCTATAAGGAAGTACTTTCCAATTCCAATAGGCCATTAATATCATTGTTCATTCCCTGCTATGCATTATAAGTCGAGATCGCAAGGGAAAGACACACATTAAGATAAACTTTCCCCGCAAAGATCGTGACCGCATCCGAGTCGATACTGGCTCCAATTTGAAATCGACCTTTAGTTTATAAACTTCTACTTTCATCTTTAAGGATGCATTATTAAGCCGGTCCATTCAATAATATTCATGGAATATGATGTTGTTAACTCAAGTCATGAACCTTGCATGATAAAGTCGTAGCTGTATTTGCAGCGAATATATTACTTATGCAGTCTAGTCCGTTGTTGAAGTTAGTGTAAACATCACGGCGGAGGCGCGGCGATTAAAGTTAGAGCCGGCGACTGGAATGAATTGCGCGATTTTACGTGGTCTCGACTAGTTCGACACGTGTACCGTTGGGTACAAATCGTCGTATCTCCATTGAGAGTAGCGCGAGCAACCCGGGCGCACCCCGGGCGGCGCGCATCGCGATCGTCGGCGGTCACGACATTTGGCAAATATTCAGCAAGACGCGGACGGCGCGGCGCGGTGTGGGAGCGGTCTGCCCTATCGCTTCCTACTTTCACGATACAATAACCGATAAAACACATATTGTTCGCTCCGAACCCTTCGAAAATATTTTACTTTTATTGGAATCGGAAAACTGCGGCCCCGCTGACTGCACGACTGGACATTACATGCCTTGGAACAGTTATGTGGGAATAAAACTTTGCTACATTATGTTCGGCGCGAGCCCTTGTTCTGGCGCACCTTTATGGGATGCCCCGAGGCCCTAGGTACTTCTCTAAAAGTTACGGTCTCATAATACAAGTAATAGAAATTATGATTTATAGAAATGGCCTATTCTTTAAGGCAAAACGTTTATTAAAATAATCGTTTTGGAATTAATTTAAGTAGTGATTACCAAGACAGGTCAGGTGAGCGACTACATTACCTTCAAGATGTGAGAGGATCGTAAATAGATAGAGACGTGTAAAATTTACAGCGATGGTAGTCTATTCTGATGTCTATTACGTTCAATTTTTTTGTAACGGATATATAGGAAATGTTGCAGCAAAACAGATTGCCTGTAGTCGTAATTATTATGCGATGAAGACGACGCATTCACTCAAGCAAGTCTGCGCGGTGTTTAATGAATACAACGGCTGGTAGCGGGACACTCTTGCAATCATAAAGCTGAGAGCTACTTTAAATTAATGTTTTCTTGTAATAGCCCTATGCCGCTATTCAGTAACGCGTAGATTACATGTAACACTAACGCACTAGCAACTTCATAAAACTAAATGATAGGATACAATCTTGTCGCAGAACTGGCCGATCGCAGAAACCACAAAGAAGAAAATCTTTTTTACTGTTTCTCTTTCTTACTATTATAATACAAAAGAATTCTTGAGTCTTCAGTCGTTATGCATTCTTGTGTAAAGGTCATCTGATCGGTTACGATAGTATATCAGCACAATAAAGGAGATGACCAGGATAAAACTTTCGAAAAAGTTTATATTGTAGGTATCGTACTCCACTTAATACGAAAATGTTTTAAGATATCAACTTAACGTAGTAGGATAATTTAATTGACAAAAAAGGCCTGAAAAATTAAAGCCGTTAAATTGTGATAAAGCTGAGAAATTATAAATATATGTCGGCCATTATCTTATCTTATTAAAAGCATTTTGAAATAACAATTATGCAAAATACATATTTACGTTACAACGGGACTTTCAATCAATCGAGATAAACCATAAAAATAAATATCAAACCGCTGAAAATTGCTTAAAGTAGTTCGAGCGATATCGAATATTACAGCCGATATCACATCAGACTTTGAGTATACGTTTTTGTTGCAAAAGATCACTTATTCCAACTACATAACACGCATCAGTGTTAAGATTGATCTGCTCTCGTCCGTACTTTTAAGTACAACATATAAAATTAACATATTGAGGCCTACCTTATTAAGTCCAAAGATACTAACAATAAACAATATTAATAGCAACACCATTATTTATCTTAGCAGATATTGCTAATATCGAAGAAGCTGTGAAATATGTGCAGTTTATAATGCTAATTTATGGTATTTGCCTACTTATTCAGCTTTATAGCTTTTATATAGATAGTGAAATATCGATAGGCACATAAACTTTGCTCATAAGCTTTTAACATGCACTAGTAGATAACTAGGTAGCAGTGATAATGATTATAAATACTCGGTAGTCGTAATTATTTACTACAAATAACAAAATATAAAAAAGTGCAAAGAAGAATAAAAGCAAAGGGTTCTAGAACATCTAGCTAATCTTGACGTAAAATAGCAATAGAATTCGTGTGGTAAACTCCCTGGGAAAGTTCACACAGTGAAAAAAAGGAACAGAAAAAGCGCTGCAAATTAAAAATGTCTAACCTTGTTACAGATCAGCGAACTACAACAACAAGACTGGCGAGTGCGTGCTGTCAAACATGGATCGGATCACCCTCGCGGGAACTAGCGCATTCCAGCCTAATGAAGGTAAATAAAATATCAAAAACCTAATAAATAAATACCACATTTAATATTCGTGTCCACGAGACTAATGAATATTTCATTTCCAGACACCGATTACTTAGAAAACAACTGTGTCGAGGAACCGACCAAACTGTGCGAGTTCAAGAAGATGAGCGGTCGCATCCTGAAGACTGTCGACTCCGTATACCAAGACGTCCAAACAGTTGAAGAGTGTCGCGAGCTCTGCCTGAACTCGCCTTTCCGATGCCATTCGTACGACCACGGCGACACTGGTGACCACGTGTGCCGTCTGTCTCACCATTCACGAGCAACTCTTGCTGATATCCAGGTAAAGCGTTGCTTGAGTTGAAATTTTCTTTAGTTTTCTTATTGAGTTGTATTTATGTATAATTTTTTATTACCAGGATCCTTACTTGGAGGTGCCCGAAGCTGCCACGTACGAACTTTCCTCGTGCTACAACGTCTCCATCGACTGCCGCGCTGGTGACATGGTAGCTCGCATTCAGACCTCCAAATTATTTGATGGGAAAATCTACGCAAAAGGAAGTCCGAACTCATGCGCTGTCGACGTTGAACAGAGTCTAGAGTTTGAACTGACAATGGAATACTCAAACATTGAATGTAATGTCAAGCAAAATGGTCTCGGCAGGTAATAAAATACGTAATCTTGTGACCAAAAATATATTGCGCGAATGTTGGTACTAAGTTGAATTCTATTGCAGATACTTGAACGATGTTGTAATCCAACACCACGATACTATTGTTACATCCTCGGATTTGGGATTAGCCGTCGCTTGCCAGTACGACTTGACAAACAAGACTGTCGCTAACGAAGTTGACCTCGGAATCCAAGGAGATGTCAAGACTGGTCTGTCAGAGGAGGTTATTGTGGACTCGCCCAACGTAGCCATGAGAATCACCGACAGGAGCGGAGACGACACCATCGCATCTGCGGAAGTTGGAGATCCCTTGGTAATCATATCTTCTTTACCTTCGACTTGGAATGTATGCGCAATAACGAGCTCTCTTTACTTAATTTTTCGTAATATTTCCAGGCCCTCCGATTCGAGATTTTGGACCCGAACTCACCTTTCGAAATATTTGTGCGAGAACTGGTTGCTATGGATGGCGTAGACTCCAGCGAAATCACCCTTATCGACAGCCAGGGTTGTCCTACAGACCACTTCATCATGGGACCTCTATTCAAATCATCCACAAGCGGGAAGGTAAGATATCAAATATAATAGCGTTGTTAGCAATCAATACTTATTGTTGACATCCAATTTATAGCCATACAATTTATGTTATTCTCTATTTCCTTTATAATTATAATGGCCTTTCCAATCCTTAACTAAATCACGCCATAAATCACACCAAAACACAATAAAACTGAATACCAAGACTTAGTAATAAATCTAACTATTCTTGTAATTTATGAGAAACGTTAATGAGGGTCGCTGATGTAGTTGTTTTGTTATATTATTATGTTAAACTTTCTAGGCAATTGAGTACAAGTATTATAGATTCTACTATAATTTACAGATACTGCTGTCACACTTCGACGCCTTCAAGTTCCCGTCGTCCGAAGTGGTGCAATTCCGCGCTCTGGTGACTCCTTGCATGCCGACTTGCGAACCTGTTCAGTGTAACGGCGGACCAAACGAACTTCGCACCATCTCATCTTACGGCCGCAGGAAGAGGCGTTCGACGTCTGCAGCGCCAACCGAGAACATGCTTCTTGTGCAAACGATTCAGATCACCGACAAATTCGGATTCGACAAACAGCGAGCGAAGAACGTTACCGAAGACTCAGTTTTCATCAGAGAGACCGACGCCACTTGCGTCAACGCTGCGGGAGCGATGCTCGCCGCCGCCGCCTTCCTGGCCGCGCAACTAGTCGTCCTAGCAGCGTGGACCTGCAGTTGGCAGCGTCGACGTGCGGCGGCGAAAGCGGCCGAGCTTCTCCCGGGCCCGACCGCTCCCTCAACCCTCTGCAAAGTCTACGATGCCAGTTTCTCCCGTGCGCACCAGAGGCACTTCTGAGTAACTGTAGGCATGTCGACGTGATCAGCGTCCGCAATAGTAGCATATATAGTAGTTTAAAAACCCCCGTCGAGTCCAGGCTCGTGAGGCCGACGTTTCGCCGGAGAGACACGTCCACCTTTAACGAAGCGCAGGGCAACGATAGCGGTTATTTAATGGTATTGTCCGAGGTCTTCCGCGTGGTGCTACGTACGGGCGCGCGCGGGGGAGCGCGGCGGGGAGGCGGGGACGACCAGGGAGCGTGTGTGGCTGTGGACGGATGCTAGGCGCTCGGGCGCTGTGTGACCGCGTTGTGGAGTGAATGCGAACGCTCGCTTGTCCCCTTCTCCCGGCCCGCGTCGGCGGGACCGTGGCCGTGAGTCGTTATCAAGATCACGTCGCTCATTCGTTCACTTTACGGTCGGATGTCCACTCGGAGATCCGACGACGTATTGTACCATATTTTTTTAAAGTAGCCTAAGCCTGATTTTAATGATAGTGATAAGTAAAAAGTAACATTTCAGTACCTTTTAAGTAGATAACCGAACGTGCGACCTAAGTCAAGAGACGATGGATTGACGGCCGTCCCGACATCGTAATTTATTTAATTTAGCATAGTTTCTTTTTTACGTAATTTATGTTTGAGGATTGAATTATACCTATTTAATAAATTCCTAATATAAATGAATACCTAAGCAAATACATGTAGCTTACTTAAACATGTGCTATCGTTTGCGATGTAAACTGAAAGTATTTTATTATGATGCTAGTGCCTTAAATTTGAAATGTTAATAATAAAATGCTGTAATCATTTTATCTGTTTCATCCGTCCAATTTGTCAAACCTAAAATAAAATATTTCAGAATATTATTCGAAGTTTTATTTGTCTCCCTGTAAATAGCAATTTAATTACTAAATACTGGTACGCAAATCAACACACAAATTGTTACTAAATAGGGTTACTTTAATGCATTAGTTAGTCTGCCTCTATGGCTTTATTTATTTCTGTGAAAAGGCTGTATTTGACGTCTATCATCAGCTTCCAAAATGAAAATGATCCTGTCTGTAGTAAAATAAGTAATAGCTACAAGACTCACGAGAAAATGATTATTTTTGTAAATGATGAAAAATAAGACAACTTCATATAAAAATTCATAGACCAATCAATGAAAAAATTTAAAATAAGAGAGTGTACAAAAATGAAAAAGACACAAAAGTGACTTAACAAACATTGGAAATAATTACCTACATATTCCTATCAAGCAAAACCAATAAAACGTGGACACAATTGGATGTAATGTCTCTTGCTATAAAACTCAGAAAATTCTCAGATCAATGAATCTACATGTATAGCTAAAGTTACAATAGCAGGTGGATGTAACAGTATTTTGATATGTAGATCCTGTACCAGTAAAGCACCATAATATAATAGATTTAACATGATATGGTTAGAAAAATTCTGTGAATCATCATAAAAATATTGACACATGCTACTATCAACGAGAGTTAAAACTACACTCAAGGGCTGAATATCTAGAAGAGAAAGTTATTTAATAATTCATAGACAAAACTGTAACAGCGACTACGAACGAGATCCATGCCATAAAACATAAACCAGATGTCTCATCTTTAAAAACGAGTCCAAGAATGCGAGCGACATACCGCATACCAACAAAGGTTTCGCAGGTCAGATTTGCTCTTAAAACGGCTCACATCAATAAGATGCGATCAGCAGGTTGTCGCGGCGGGCACGTGTGAAAGGGCACGCCTCGCGCGTTCGTGCCCGCGATCCGATCGCAGACCGCGGCACGCGACACGAGACACGTGTCGAAAACGCTCCCATTAGTGCACCACCTGTACGCTAAATCTCGCTTCCTGTATAGATCCGATCGCATCCTTTGGTGCGCTTGCACGTCTCTACTATATTGCTGGGGTTCGATTTTTTTTTCTCTTTTTCGGAATTAAAGGTCCATTTTGAGTATGATCAGCGAAAGCAATGGGCTGCTGTAGGATGACGATGAAGAGGCTTTTTTCATAGCTTACACCTGTACTTAGGGCCCAAATTTGGCTTGGCCCGAAACACTTCGGGACAACATTACGACGCGAGACACGTGTTGAAAACGCTCTCATTAGTACACCACCTGTACGCTAAATCTCGCTTCCTGTACAGATCCGATCGCATCCTTTGGTGCGCTTGCACGTCTCTACAATATTGCTGGGATACGATTTGTTTCAAATTAAAATTATTTCTCTTTTTTGGAGTAATAGGACCTTATGTAAAGTAGGATCAGCGGAAGAATATGTCCAGCATTGGGCTGTCATAGGATGCTGATGATGAAGAGGCTTTTTTCATAGCTTATACCTATATTTAGGACTTACTGCTTAGTCTCTACAATATTGTTTGCTAGGATTAGATTTGTTTCAAACAATTATATATTTTTTAGGAGGTTAAATAACTTAAGGCCACGATAGCCGAACGGTGAAGGGGTCGGACTGGCCATTTCGTGATCCGGGGAACGCTGGTTCGGTCCCCGCCGCCGCTCGACTATTGTGGTGAGCTCACTCGTGATACAAGCATATTTAGCTTAGTACGAGGGGCTAACGGGAGTATTAGTAATTTGTGTAATAACAAATTACTATTAATCTTAAAAAAACTTATGAAAAGTCTAGAGAAGACAAAGACGGGATTAAAAGCCGTGTAGTATCAGCGGATGCCTACGACCAGTAGCGGTCTGGTATAGGCAAAGGATTGGTCTAAAACACTTCGGGGCAACAAGTCTGGCGGTGAGAAGTGGCGGAAGAAACGTCGTATAATTATGTAAGTAATTGTTAATTGCAGGAAATACAATTTACAAGAATTATGAAAAAAGTGCGAGCTAGGCAGGTAAAGTCCATGCACCCTTGCTAAATGCGATCAATTTTCAAAGGATATTCCTAATTTGTAAAATGGATAGGCAATTTTATAAGTTTGTAATACTTATTAAAAATATTATATTGCGCATAGCCAGCTGAAGTTGTCTCTGAGTTGTTGAACTCTCACAACTCTTAAGCCTTCAAGGCTGAAGCGAATAGGTATCTCCTGGTCAAGTTAGCTCGACCGTAGATCGCATCTGCACCCCTCGGGTGCGATTGTAATCATCAGCCAGCCTACATAACATTTAAAAATTCCCGTAGATTAAAATAACCTCAAATAACTACCAGTTTATCGAAAGTGCCCCATTACTATGCCACATCATCAACAGCCCTTTACAGTCCACTGCTGGACTATGAGCCTCCTCCACTATAGTGGAGGGTTTTGCCATAATCTCCACGCTTGGCAGGCGGGTTGGAGATCGCAGTTTAAAAGATTGATGTTTTTCAGAGAGCGCTGCTGCCCATTCTCTGTTTGATGTGTAGTCCCTAAGTCGCCTCTTACGACACCCGCGGGAAGAGTAGGGGTTGGTGACAAATTACTATGCCACCTACACACTTAATCTAGCTTCCTCCCTAGATTCTAATTACATATCCTACGACACTTAGCTGACACACCTTTCTGAAAACTAGGTCTAACCTAATTCTTATAAAAGTATCGATCTCTAAATGCCAGTTTGTTGAAACTTGGTAGAGCACAGACATGCCTTGTACGACGTAAATACATCTTTATTTAACTCGCAATTTCAGAATTAGCCAGCAGAAGTATTCTGTATTTTGTTTAGTAAGCACTCCACTAGCGACACTTTATCTTGGTGGTGATCGCCCTCATAAATTCAACAAATTCAACGAGACGGCGTTATTCGTATTTAATTTCGTAAAGCTTAGAGAGGAGGCAGTGAAATAGCGTCTTCAGATAATAAATTACCTCGAACCTGTAAAAGCTCTCCACTTATATTGAATAACACAACAGATGCACATTTAATCCGATTTCAATAAAAGAAGCAAAATGACGCTAAAAGATCCCTCAATATTTACTCATGGATATAAGTAATTGTATGAAAAACACATAAAAGCAAAAATATGATCAATGCATTATTTATAACACGATGACATCAAATAATTACTTTTGAATGTTTGTATTGCATGATTATCATACTGTATTTACACAGCTCGAAAATAGTATGTATTAAAATCGTTTACAGGCATTGCATAATAAACGATTTTATAATTATTTGAATTACCTGTTGTAATGACAGGTTCATCCAAAAAAATGCTATCGCACAAAACGGCAAGGATTTAAATTGAGTTAATATGTAGAGACCTTTTAGCGAAAATGATACTGTAAATCTGTTTCCAATTTAGATGCTAATACCAACTCTATTTCTCTTAAGGTAATTCTTCGATACATAAATCAGTCTGGACAAACAATTTAATAGGTGTAGATAGATTAGATAATACAATAAAGCATTGTGTTCAAACAGAAGCACAATATTGAAACATTTCAAACAAATGCACTTTAAGCTTATTGCAGCGCTTTGTACTTGGCGCCAAATGCATTTTATGTGTCGTAAAATCATACTATTGAATGCAACAATGTAGGCAAAGATAAAGTCGTTTACAATAATATAAAATATTCATGAAATACACGGAACAGCAGGAATGATGGCGACCACCGAGGGGTACATTCGTAGCGAATGCGAATCGAAGCGAGGAAAAAATAAAAGCCAATGCGTAGGTACTCGTTTATACGAAGATTGACAGGCGTTTGTGCATGCAGCTTGTTTTGGAATGACTACAAGATGTGCCGACGATATCTTGAGTGCTGAGCAACACGGGAAGATCTCGGAGAGAAATCGTATTAATTCCATTTATGATAGCTTTCCCGTTCGTACTTATTGAACGAGCATTTGTAGATGTAATCGCACGTTTGGCATCGCGACACAAATGAAATATTGTCGGTGCGGCTCGGTTCTCATGAAATAATGTAATCTGATTAAGTATTACAATAAATGAGTCACGGTGGGTACTCTCAAAGAGCTCAGTGACCAGAAAGAACAATAAGTTTTTTATAGTGCGTGTTTTAAAACATTAACGTTTATGGGATAGGTTGAGGATATTCAGAGAATTCTTCAGAATGAGAGGTGAAGGCCACTCGCTGCTATACCTAAGCGTGAATATTAGACAAAGTAACTAGTCAAAATGCACATAATAAGTATAAACTTTCGCGTTCATTTCAAGTAAAATGTAGCAAGACGGTCTCGCATAAATAGCACACTCAAGTATCGATAATATATTAAGTACATACATAAATGCAATGTTTAGAACATACCAACAGCCTTTTAGCCTGGGAGGAAATTATGCAAAATACATTACGCCTCTTTCCAGTTTCCCCATGTTCCTCATCTTCTGCCTTCCGCATTTAATTTAGCCTGTTTATAAGATCATCGGTCTATGTCTCTCCCGTAGGATAGGTTTCAAAATAGATCTGAACTAAATTTTATACGATTATAAGCAAGATTTTTTACATGTTCATAAACATTTTAGCTAAACTTAAGTATGAAGTAGATAAGTGTAACACTAGTATTATATTATCTGTGGTGTAACAAAAAAAATATCTAAGTAGGTATATAAAAATTTAAGGTCACGATCCACGTGTAGATCCATTGTAGATCGTTTTCAATAAACATCGTTAGAAATTAGCTTTTATAAAGTTTTTATTGATAAAAAAGTATACATAGCACTTTATTAATGGTTTTGGTTTTTTACAGAGGGCTATTGTTGCGGTAAGTGCGCATTGAGTGAGCCTTTTGAAAGCGATCTAGGACACACTTTCGCTAGGAAAATGAAAGTAAATGAGTACATTGCTAGTCTTTATCTTCCAAATGCTTAATAAGTACTTTTTAAAATCAAATAATGGCTTGAATTCACAACTCCCAAATTAATGTCAGATCAGTAATCTGGGCTAGTCATCTTTTCATAACATGATACTTTAAGAGATAATTTATACATACACTATATTAATACAAGTCAGGTCAGACGATGGAAAACAATACATCCGTACAAACCAGTGTGTTTCGGGTTTATTGTTCGTCAAGGATAATAAAATGTGTAAGATATTGTGCGACCATGACTAAGATAAAAATCTTTGACAACGTATCCTGAGAATGAATCCCACGAGCTGAATCACATCCGTTTAGCGACCATAAAAATAGGTGTTTTGACCTTTAATTATAACACAAGTACGTTCATCTTTCAGACATTCTTTGCCTGCATTCTTGCATAATTTAACGACGTTTAATGAAATTAAAAAGGTATTATGGACAAATTATGTCAGTGACAGGCTTCACTTGCTTTATAATTGCTGCCAGTCAGTAAGTAGCTCGCGAGTGATGTTTGCTCGCCCCGCCCTTTATTAAATGGGAAATATTACATGATGTACACAACTGCTGCCGTACACACACGCGGTCCAATGACTCCAATAAATATTCAGCAGATTACTGCCAGTGCCTCGGATAAAAGCTATTTGTAGCGAGACGTACTTTTAAAAATGGAAGGCTATCGTAAACTAGAAATTGTCAGTTTTGCCGTACAGGGAGATTCTGTTAGCAGATCGTAAATCTGTCAGGAGATAAGTGCTTATCTGGTATGTTCACGAAGTGCAATCGATTTTGGTCTATTATATTCCGATTCCACGGCGCCGGTTACTGATTCGTGGCGCAATTTGTGTACTTATTTGCATCAAGTTAGTCCTTCGCGACCGCGATCACGCAGCTCACTCTGATGCGAAAATAAACAGAGAAACTGAACACCGCAAAACTACGCCACCTGGATCGGGCACATCTATCTTGTCAGCCTATTTATGTCCTCAGACGGACGCACAAAGCCTTTCCCAAATGGATTTACTTATAATGGTCCACGCAAATTATTTGCCGCTGCTGGTTTTTTCATTTTCAATCAATGTGAAGGAAACATTAACTACAGTTTTAATGGGCGATAATGAGAGAGTGCTTACGAGATTTTAATACTCAACTCATAATTCCTTAAAAAAGGTAAACGCTTGATTTTTTTCAACGTGCTTAACGGGAAAATTAGGGTGTAATAACAGGAAAGAATGCATCGCATTTTCACCGATCCGCTATCGGCGCTTCCAGGTATCCTTTCAAACGAACATTCAGTAAAGCAGTGGGCGGACCCTCCAATTTGTTGAACTTGAGGTCCTGATTGCATGTTTACACAAAGTCTCGTGATGACTTGAGCAATCGAAACCACTCCAAGTGGGTGGCTCGGAATGACATTTATTATAGTCATTGGACTTATCGATATCAGGCAAATGTATAATTTCCCGTCACGAGTATCGTGGTATTTGTTCAAGTTATTGAATTTAGTGCAGCCATTGCATTATGCAAATCCTTCAGGAAAGGATATTGAGTAGTAGTGAACAGAATTTAAATTGCGGGAAAATACAATGTGGGTTATTTTGAAGCGTCCCACTTCGATATGAATCGGCAGTTCGAGTAGGCATCAACTTGTACGTTGTATTGAGTGAAATGGTTATTTCTAGTTTCTAGTATTCGAAATGGGTATTGGGAATGTTCGTGGCGTGTTTTTTGTGACGTTTAGTCACGGATTAGTCGCGGATCGCGGACGGGGCGCGTTCGCACAGTGGGACGAGATGAAACATCCCCGGTCCGTCGGAAGTGATCAGAGCCCCGATTACGGTAACTTTTAACGTCTACAATCCGGACACGCTTCATCGACGCTGCGATACGATTGGTCGAAACAGCTGACGTACGCTGTTGAACGACCAATCGTATCGCAGAATCGAGAAGCGTGTCTGGATTGTAAACGTTAAAAGTTACCGTAATCGGGGCTCAGAGTGCATCACGACGCGCCGACGCGCGCTAACTATCCGCTAATAGAGGATCGTGCTCGCGACCCCGCCTCCCGTGCCCGATGATAATGTCCAAGCTGACGGACACTATTATTGTTCCTGTTCGGTTATCCAATTATGTTCGTATCTTGTGCGGCTTTATATCGTTGCCAACGCCACGCCGATGTCCGATTCTCACGCTCGTCGGCGTTAGTTTTATACCCTTATAATCAATTCAATGCGAAAGTAAACTTCTCAGTCTCGACAAATATACGACTATTATGTTACACATCAGACGGACAGCTTGGCTGATAAAGTTTTACTAGAATGCGTTTAGTAGCGAGAATATATTAGTGTTCAGTAAAAGGATAGAGCTTTAAAGAAATTATAAGTTGTGTACCGCGAGTGGATTATTACTAACATAATAATTATTAGCTGTAATATTCTGATTTAGTAATCATCGTAGGGTTGCAAGAACAGGTTTTTACCATTTAAGAACAGTTTATTGACTGATACAAAAGTTTGCATACACGCATAATATGAATGACTGGAGAAAGATTTGTATCACAGAAATGAGAGAACCACCCGCTGATTTCACAGAATGGAATCTGCGAATGGTTCCGCGCTAACAATACATAATCATATCATAGCAATACACATTACATAATTGTATTACGGTGTGTTGCGAATTCTCATCATTCACCGCATTCTTCAGAGGTCGATTGTGATATTACTCTAAACTCGTTTAATTTTTTTTTGTTTAAAGCAATAAATTGCGCGAGTCAGCTGCATACGTCATTTAGCACAAATATATTTACAAAATATACGAAATCCAATTATAGATAAATATCAGGGCAAAGTCGAGGGATTCCAATCACGCGATAGATTCCCAATGCACTGATCAGATTAATGCTCTTTAGATGCGCCCTTATAAATGCACCGGGAAGGCTGTTGTCAGAGACTAATGGTGCTCACTGAAGCTAATGTATACTAATATAGATGCGACTTTAGCTTGCAGGTAATCGTCCAGAGTAATTGGGTGGTTGACACCAGTGACCAATGATTCCAAGTCACGACTTCACAGAAGACTCAATTAGTGTTCAATTAACTGTCAAATAAGAAAGAGCTTAGAAAATAATAAATGAGTAGTTGGTCCATTCAGTTACAGTGACATCATAGCTGGTCTTTTCCATCGAAAATATATGATAGAGTCGGTCTTTGACCATCACTGACAAAGTTTTGTGTACTGATGAGTTATCATAATGGGATTCACCTATTAATTTCATTTGCCTATTGGAACCTACGGCATGATTCAGAAAAGTTTCCATTGGGAATCATTGATTGATTTGGTAATGACTCCTTTTAGTTTTAAGTAGTAGTATCTTTAAAAAAAAATCTTAGACTATAACAGTGCTGCATTTATCGATATCGCTGCAAGTGAACTTGAGTATAAATAACCGCGATAGGAGTTGAATCGCGGACTCACACGACTCGCACACAACATGGCAAGTCACGGGTCTATCCGTGTCAGAGCGAACACGAACGAACTATCGACGCGCGCGCATCGTCCCAATTTCATCAATCAAATGTGTTTTGTGATTGCGCAGTCAGAAACAAATTTATGACAGTGTAAACGGTGGGATCAAACAGTTAACCTACGTATGGTGTTTAGTTCGTAAATTATCGTTGAGATCTATCTATCGAAGGTTTTAGAATATGCCAATTTTTATCATCATAACGAATGAACTATCGACGCGCGCGCACATCAACTGTGTTAAATTTTATGGAGACTTTATGACAATGTAAACGGCGGGATCAGGGGGGCATTCGATATCGACTGCGTAAAAAAGTGTTTGTGTGCTTAATATTATGATGTATGACGGATTGTACAGCGCCCCCAGCGGATACTTTCAAGAACTAAAATCTTCATATATTTTTTAACGCAGTAGATATCAAATGCGTTTGACGTAAACTCACACTACGCCCCCTGAACAGTTCAAGTCATTCTGCTTTTGGTGTTTTCGTAGCCATTGATCATACTGCTTATGGTATTTGTAAGCTTATGATTCAGATCTATTTATCGATAATATTTGAATACGCGTATTGTATAGTTTTTCCTTCGGTTTTTATCATATTAACGTGCGTCCACGCTGGTAGAGCCCATGCGCCTTGTGTTTTAGCACCCTTTTAGGAACTAAAGCCTGGTCCGTGAGCACGTAGAATTTCGTCCAATGACCCCAAGCTACCCATCCTTATCGCTCGCGCGTAATTATATTGCTGTCGCGACTGTACGACGCGCGCCCGCAGTGAGTGTGCGAGCGCGACAGCAACATAATTACGCGCGAGCGATAAGGATGGGTAGCTTGGGGTCATTGGACGAAATTCTAGGTGCTCACGGACCAGGCTTTACTATTGACGCACGCGCATCTGCATCATTCAACTTATTTTGTGATTGCGCACAGAGAGAAATAAATTTATGACATTGTAAACGGCAGGGCTAGACCAGAACAGATCAAGCGCCATTGATCAAAAAGCTTATGGTGTTTAGTTAGTAAACTATGAATCAGATCTATCTGTTGATGGTTTTTTTATTACGCTTATTGTATAGTTTTTCAAACATGAATGCATTAAATGGAAACTAATATTTATTGCTAATGAAATTACATGAATTATGTTTTAATTTTAATACAAGGTCTATGTTACAGATACATTCAGTTACACAACTAACAATAATATTACCTAATATCATCTTAATTTTTTCACAAAAACAATAATTTCAATGGAAAAAAAAATAAAATGAATATCTTGTTAGTTAGCCAGACAATTATACCGTAAATAAAGTATTGGATTATCTAAAGGTAGTTAATTTCAGGGCTTATTTTCAAGACTTCAGTATACAGACTGGGAAATTCTTTATAAGTTTTCTTTACAAGTTGTTCTTTGTTAATGAATTCAACATTCCCGTTGAGCAATTTGCGAAGGATCAACCTGTACAAAAATTAAGAGTAAAGCAGTTTATGGCTTTTCAGGATACGAGTATACATCTTTTAGGGCTGATTTTCAATCGTCGGATAACTTTTAACTGAAGAATAAGTTTGACACATTGACAGTTTCAGTATGGAAAATGTCAAAATGAAATGTTTATTCTTCAGATAAAAGATATCTGACGATTGAAAAATCGGCCCTTAACTGAACAATAAACTTGTCATTTTAACATATTTCCCATACTAAAAATGTCAATGTGCCAAACTTATTCTTCAGTTAAAAGCTAACCAGCGATTGAAAAATCAGCCTTGAGAGCCGATTTTTTAATCGTCAGATATCTTATAACTGAAAAATAACCTTGTCATTTTGACATATTTCCCATACTGAACCTGTCAATGTGCCAAACTTATTCTTCAGTTAAAAGTTATGACGATTGAAAAATCAGCCCCTAATGACATAAAAAATCATATCTCCTTTACTTTCTGACATCGTTCACAACTCACCCTTTGCCGTTGATCGCCGACCGACCACACCCGGCTCGCGAAGTCGTTGGACGCTCCCACGATGTACGCGCCCGAGGAGTCGAAGTCCACCGACATAACGCCTTTGTTGGACCCCACTAGGGTGCCTTTGTTCTCCACCAGACCCACTAAAAGAATACCGGTAATATTAACATTTTGATACATCAAATTACGACCACGAGCCGGAAGACGCAGCGTGGGCAGGCCTCCCACTAGGTTGACCGGCGATCTAGTGAAGGTTATGGCGCAGGACCGGCCTTTGTGGAAATCCTTGGGGGAGGCCTTTGTCCAGCAGAGGACGTCTTTCGGCTGAAACGAACGAACATCAAATTATAGATCGTTTCATCCACGAAAATGCGCCCCACCATTCTTCCGCTAATCTGAGTGTTATCGATACACGCTAAGTTATCCATGAGTGCGCACGCACACTACAATAATGACGCTCGGATTGCTCGGATCTAACTCCCCGCACCCCGCGCTTCCCTAGACCAAAAATTGGTGGGGCGCGTCTTCGTGGATGAAACGATCTATATAAGAACCGGTTTCCAGCAAGCGGAGCGGAGCAGAGAAGTGTTTAACCAATCAGGTTTCATCATTTCCACTTCTCCTCTTCGCGTTGTGCCGAAAGATCCTGTATAAAAGTGATACGATGTAAGAATGATTTGTATGCGCGTCAAGCGACAGCACAAGTTAATCTATACTGTATAGCTTAACTTACAGTAGGTATACTATATCATACTATACCTAACCGTATACACTGTGGTATATTATTTAGTTGTAATAGGTCCGATTTCGCAACAACTATTATCTTTCATTCATAGATTCCATATAGCATACGGATATCTTCTATGTTAGTTGACAAAGACAACAGAGTGATCTAAATGTATTACTACATTTGCATGAGTTCGATATCAATAATAAGGGTAACAATAAAAAGAGTCAAAATGTACTCACACTTCGACACGTCCCACAATTTAACCTTTCTATCGGTGCCTCCTGTCGCAACCATGCGATCGGTAGGGCTCCATTTGACGGCGTTAACCTCGCCATCATGCGCGTCCTGTATAAAAAATAATAATTTAAAAAGCGAAGTGTGCGTCACGTCACAAATCTAATAAGGTTGAGAGCAAGCCTATCATGTCCATTATTAGTGGATCCGCGGCTGCCTAAAAGACTGCAAAGACGCTTTTTCAACAAAAGTAGTTGTAGTAAAAATAACCTTGTAAAGCCTGGTCCGTGAGCACGTAGAATTTTGTCCAATGACCCCAAGCTACCCATTCTTATCGCTCGCGCGTAATTATGTTGCTGTCGCTCTCGCACACTCACTGCGGGCGCGCGTCGCACAGTCGCGACAGCAATATAATTATGCGCGAGCGATAAGGATGGGTAGCTTGGGGTCATTGGACAAAATTCTACGTGCTCACGGACCAGGCTTTAGTAAAAATAATTGCGTACCCTTACGACTATTACCTGCTTGCAGGTGAAATTGAGACTTATCGTGTGACACGAGCGAGCATTCATGTTCTCGTAGGCACCACTGACTTGTATTATACTGATTTTTGTTCGGAAAAACATATATCTGTTTCTCATATTGGCATGTTAGGCCATCAACGGTTTTCAAGCGCCAACGCGACGTAAAATATTGACTCTCGGCGCCTCTCTTTATTAATTTCTATGGCGCACCACCACTGCGCACTCTTTGGGATCCCTTGGACTAATCAATTGATAATGGTGAATATACGAGTACATAGAGTTGAGAATACTCACAAATCTCAGCGCTACTTTGGTGGGCAATGTCGTGGCATAGAACGGCATCGACTCCATGATCTTGTCATCCGAACCACCAGGCGAGCCACCACTACTCCTACTGCCCCCTTCTCTCGCGGCTTCCTCCAACTCTTTCCGAAGCTTATCACTCTTCTTTCTGAAAACAACAGAAAAACCAACTTTAAATACATTCAATACAAACTACTGACGGCCCATACGGCCGAATACAAACCATAAAGCATATTTTGCAAAAGCAGTTATGCGTAACCAATCACCATGCATTTTGTGTCTCTTCGTGACGTAACAGTGTCCTATAAAAAGGCACCAAATTCAAACCTTATTGCTTGTGAACTGCTGATCTAACACCTTGACGTAAGTGATTGTGTCGATATAAAACGTATCATTTGATCAGTGTTTAGTGCTATGACATATTTACAGTGAACTTTTTACACTACTGAAAATACATACAAGGTAATTCCAAAACTGCAATACAAACACCACACAACATTGTATCGCTTCCAAATTAGGCAGCTCATGTCGAAATGTTTTAATAATTACTCAGCATGGGTATGATGAATTGTTTGTATGAAAAAGTCTATTATACAGGGTGTTTGGCGCATCGTGTGCCAAAATGATTTGGCGGATAGAATGGGTCATTTCCTATATTACATTGAAAAACGATAGAGAAAAGGTTTTTTACATTGCATAAGATAAATATTTTTTACCTGTAGGTATTTAACGTGTTATTCACACAAAAAGGGGCTATAAACACAAATTTCGCAAATCAGTCCGAATAGAGTCAATGCACTAATTTAGGGAATTTGTGAAGTTGTTGTTATTATTTAAACAAGATTAGTATACCGTTTGAATGGGGATAGACTAGAGAAGTTTTGATAAAATCCGAAGATCGCTATCTCTTTTAAAAAAAAAATTATAGCCTTGTAAACTTAAATGTTCAGTCCATTTTTAACTTTTCGGAAAAGTTCAAAGCTGAATTAAAAAAAACTAGATGATATTTGCCAGTAAATTTAGATTTGATGCAACCCTATGTCAATGCACGTCAAAACAAAATATTTACTTTGAGGCTACGCTTAGTAGTTTTTTTTTAATCGAAATTAAATGATGCGATTTGGGTATTTGGTGAAATTACTAAAAAAACTTAATATAAAAGTAGCCGCCTGACATGGAACGTGTTATGGGGGCTGAAAATATAGGAAATGACCCATTCTATCCGCCAAATCATTTTGGCACACGATGCGCCAAACACCCTGTATAGTTCTATAGGCGACACGATATAAATATTACAATTCGATATGAAGCCAAGGTAACTAATGCCCGTTTTCACCATCAATCCCTAATTTTTAAGTGACCCCTATATGTATAAACAAAATTCCTGATATGTGTTACCATAGGGGTCACTTAAAAATTAGGGATTGATGGTTAAAACGGGCATAAATCGCTGACTGACTATTTATAAAATCAGTGGGTCTAGACAAAGTGCAAATTATAATCGCAAACCAGTCGATAAGTGGTCGAAAAGCCCCTTTTCAACCGACTTCAAAAAAAAGGAGGAGGTTCTCAATTCGACCCGTATGTTTTTTTTTTTTTTTTTTCTATGTTTGTTACGCGATAACTCCGCCAATTATGAACCGATTTGAACCAATCTTTTTTCGGTTTATAGGTAACTAGCTTTCCGCCCGCGGCTTCGCCCGCGTGGAATTTTGTCTGTCACAGAAAAACTTTATCGCGCGCGTCCCTGTTTCAAAAACCGGGATAAAAACTATCCTATGTTCTTTCCCGGGACTCAAACTATCTCTATGCCAAATTTCATCAAAATCGGTTGCGAGGTTTAAGCGGGAAAGCGTAACAAACAGACAGACAGACAGACAGACAGACAGACAGACAGAGTTACTTTCGCATTTATAATATTAGTTGGGATACCTCAAGGGTGGTCCCATTTAAATTTAATAATAGAAAAAACAACCCCCAAGGGTGGAAAATTGGGGATGAACTTTTTTATACGCAATATCTCCGCCGATTATAAATAAATTTGAACGATTATTTTTTTGTTGAATAGGTATTATCAAAAGGGTGGTTTCATGCGAATTTGAAGAAAATATTTCACCCCCAAGGGTGGAAAATTGGGGATGAACTTTTTTATACGCAATATTTTTAATTTTTAGTTTTTTTTTGTGTTCATGCATTTGAAGTCGGTTTTATTTTTTTTAAAAGTTATATTAGATTATTTGTATGGAGTTTTGACGGATTCGATTTTCGATTCGATCAAAAAGTGCGTTTTGTCTAGGGGGGCAGAATATTATCGTGACGTGACATTAGTGACATAAACGACTATATCCAACATGATCTGACATAAACTTGAAAACAATAGATTTAGCAAACAATGTTAATCAGCGGTCAAAATGCATACCTTACATGTGCCAAGTATCTGAAATCAAAACATGCAGTAATTCATGCAGTACATTTGCGTGCTGACATTATTATTAATAAAACTTTACAAAATAATTCTCAAAACCTAACAATAATAAACAAATTAGATACAAATTGAACCGCACAGCAATAAAAATAACATTTAGTGTGTGTAATATGATAATATTTATTTTATTGCTTATAATCCATTGAAGAATCTAATAAAACTCCACATTAAAAGAACTTTGAAACCTGATGTAAACAAATAAATGCTTTTACACTCAGATTTCGTATTTACTATTAATCACTCATAAAAAATTACAAGATGATTGAAAACATTTTTGAACACATACATCTATAACTATACCCTAGTTTTATTATTAGATTGTTTAGTACATTTCACACAACTCATTTAAATAACTACATGCACACTCATGAACATTTTAAGTATGAAATGATCATCGATGTAGTTATTACATTTGAACACCTTAAAATGAGCAAATAGACATGATAACTCACAGAAGGAACATGAAAACAAACCAGCATAGACTAGAAAAACAAATTCTTATACGAAAACAATTTAATAAGTTTTAGGTAAACAAAAAAATATCGAAAAGTAACATCTTACAATGAGACAGAAGGAAAATTACGATAAATGAGTCAGTTTCAGAGTGCAGTTACGACATTCATGGGCCATTTTCATGAGGAAGTATGTTCAATTATTATGAACGCCACAATGCCTTCAAACCACCACATTCTCATTCACATTATGTCAAACTCACCCGAAACTAACTCTACCAAACGTGTTGATGAAAAACGCGGTAGGGTTGCTTGACCTGTTGAACAAATTAAACAAAAAGAAGCAAAAACAAAAATTATCGGTACAAAATGCAAGCTGTAAAGCCGCGCACACACATCACCCACTCTATCACAACAACTGCATTTTAAAATACACATAACTAAGTAAAACACAAAGTATAATATCGTGTGCAGTGTCCACTACTGTTTGCCATGTATCAAAGTCAAACTCAAATTTATTTATTTGTATAGACTAATAAATAGTAATTACAAATCGTCAAATATTTTGCTCTTAAGGAGCCTCTGCATGTCTCATAATCTTTTTACCCTACCAGCGCTAAATTCGCGATCTCTCTTCCGCAATAGTTCAAATAATCAATAACGTAATACAGGACAAACTTTTGTCTACTTTGCGGTGCATATAAGTGTTTTATTCATATAATAGCAGCGAGCGACATACACTAACTACTTGTACACGTATGTAGTGAGTGTACTTACATAGTATTTTTACCAAATGCCCCATATTATGCAACACTAAAACAAGTACTTTTATAACAATATATGCGACTGCTACCATTGTCAAGACATCTTCATGTGATAAATAATATTCTTACCGAGAAACAAAAATAAATTGTAGCAGTCTTGTATGTTTGAAAATCAAACGTATCATAACGAGTGAAGTTCGATTTTTCGTTCAGCTTCGTTCGAAGTGATTAAGCTTTAACTTGGTATAATAGCGGCAACTACTAAGGATTATGCACGATATACTTAAAGACTTTTTAATATGGCAACACTGGAACATCACTACTCACCTTTACACAACCGCAACGGTATAATCCGTCATCCGTTTAAATGATAAGTAATAATGTTCATTCAGAAGCTCTTTCCAACAGCAAAATGTATGACCCAACTTGGAACACTCCATTTTCCTTATTATTGGGGTAATGGGTGTGAAAATTAACAATTAATTTATTACAGCGAAAAAGCAAACGGCCATAGGACCATTGTGGAAGGACGAGCAGTGAATTTGCCAATGTTATTATACTAAAAAATCTTATATTTATATCAGCTTAGCTTATATTGTTGACGCTACAATACCAAGTCAAAATAGAGCTGCGAAACTTAAGTCTGGTAAAGTAGTGTATATTACGTTATACGTGTATACTACATGCTGAACAATCAAAAAGCTCAAATAATACTTACTTGAGAAAATGCTCATTTTCTTCATTCATCTTGTCGGCATCCTTAGCTTTGTACTTTATTAACCTATCCACTAACGACCGGTTTTCGTCCTGTAAACACACAAAAACCGAACTTTAAAGATAATTCAACTACAAAATACTATTAAACACAACACCTATTTAGCACAACCTTTTTGAATATTTTGCGCATCTTCAGAATCTTTATAATCACAGCACAAAACAAGTCGCGTACAACACAACACCCACAGTTTATTGCGAGAAAATAGAAAAGAAGAAAAGATCAATTCGTTTCTCCGACTGAAAATACTTTTTGAATCTACGACCGAACGCGCTTACTCAACGTTTTCATTCAGACTGTACACAAAAGTGGTGTTTCAGATATTCCTAGCTACAGTGTGTATACGCACTACGGTAATCATATAAAGCTCGTAAATATACAGCTTGCTCCATTTACTGTTGGCATAGCCATTACTTAATTAATTAAAGTAGAGTCGGATAGGTGCGACCAATTTATTGACCTGTTTAATGGTGTTTAAAAGGAAAATGTAATCAAAAGTATTTAAGGTTGACATTATGTAATAAACAAACAAGTTTCTATATGTTTGTCCTCATAATAGTACAGCGAAAAAAACCAGTATGACAATGCACAAACAGGCGTATAATATGTATTATTTTAAAAATATTGAACACGCTGAATATTATTGCATAAAACTTCGAATTGAGTTGGCACAAACCCAAGTTTTAAATGATGCTATAAAATTCTAAATTTCCAGCAGAATAAATTGTTCGCAAGTAAAAACTAGAATTACTATGCCAAAAATAATTTCATAAACAATAACAGAAACCCACAAAGCGTAAAGTCCGCACCAATTCAATTTGCCAATCTTTTCAATGAGATGATAGACTTGAAAATCTATTGATTTGTATCATTTACATTGCTGGAGACATTTGTGTATGTAGTGTAATCGGATTCTATTTGCGCCGACTATAGTGACACATCATTCCAAGGCAATTAAGATCGGTCAAGAGAAACGATAAAAACAGAGCTCACTGCTGATGAATATTCTAATATACTTTATTCATACAGTTTCCAGTGTCCATAAAAACGATTATAGGCGTGCACACTCAGTGCACAGGTCTATAACTTTAGATTAAGTTAAACTTTTAACTCAGACATTAATTTTGCACAAAATACGCGATAACTTCGTTTTTTAGGGTTTTTAAACTTTTTTTGACGCAAAGGAGTGGTAATATGTTTTTATTGAATTCTTTTAAGCTATGTGTTTACTAGTTTCAAAGTAATTAAGATATTACATGACTGATTAATTAAGTCATATTACACAAACTGATACCTAAATTAATTTATCCTCATATAAAACATGCGAAATTTTGCGAGGGTAGATAAGTTATTCCTACTTGTAGAAAGCAACAGAACAGATTTTTATATTTGGACAACTTTTTATCTGACACATTATGACTGAATTAGTGACGTGCATTAATTTTAATTCGAAGTAGTAGTTTGCAGGTAGGCACTTCCTAATTATCTTTACACACCACACGCCTGTTATTCCCAAGCTCCCGATAATAGCGATAACAAGTTGTCTAAATGCGTTAAATTACTTCCTAATAGTAAAAGTAAACGTTTATCAGTAATTCTCGAGTTGTGTTTTGACCTCTTTATCATTGTCAATAGGCAGTTGTCATTAGGGATTGTAACATATTAACAACATTGTTAATTAACTTGTTATTTATTTACATTTCACAGTCCCTTGCCATTTAAGAGAGAATATGCCACACGGGCGTTGACGTTGCGTTGCGGTATCGCAGCGGTACCGCTGCGTAGTGTAGTGCTACATAATAAATCTGTCGAGAGACGCCGTGCCGCTGCGTAACCGCAACGCAACGTAAACGTCCGTGTGACAACTCTTTAACAATCACAAAAGGTATTGTGTATAAATTAGAAACAAAACTTTTTAGCCATTCTGTGGACTAATAATGTTGCAATAAAAGTTTGCCGTGTGTAATCATTAACATATTGTGACAGTATGATTTGCATAGCCTATTTTGAATGGTTTCCTTGTAATGTTTTCCTACACAACCAAGTTGGGCGACGACATTGAATAAATCCAACAATAGGTCACAGGGGATTTATTAAATCAGAGTATTGAAACGCTTGTTAAGGTTTATAAATATGTAGTGAACATTAGGAATATGTCCGTTTTGACAACTTGTGAGCCATTAAATAGGGTAGTTTAAGTAAATGAGGAACTTTACAGTAGGTACTTGATTTTAACGTTAAATGTTGGTTCAAGGTTAACTTAAACCAGTTTTGGGTAACTTCATTAACATAATGACCTTACTTAGGTAGACTAGAGTCTGATAAATTAAAATCCAATAATACTGTGTCAAAATTTACCTGAGCTTTTCTTAATTTCTCTTCTATAGCTGCAAAAGCCATCTGTAATGCTTGATGTTCGTCTCGTAATACTTGATTCAATCCTTGCAACTCAGTCATGTTTGTTTCATACATTTGTATTTCAGCTCGTAAAGATGCTATTAAAGCTGTGTTTTCTGAAATTCTACAAAGAGAATAATCTTTATAAATAAAAGTGATAAGTTTATTAATTTATGGGGACAGGCTGAATTATTGACAGAGTGTATCATAATTTTATCGATACTTATACCTCATACTAATAATTTGTTTTCCTTAGTTTATCAACTAAATAAATCTTGTTATTTGCTTATTGACATATCAAATACAAGTTGCATAACAAAAATCATTAATTTCGTGAGGGACAGTGTGGTCTCAAGGTCGACTTACAACATTAGGTGTCATTAGCTGACTAACAGGCCTGAATTTGTGACATTGATCTATTTTAAAATATTTTGGGCAGTCGTTTCAAAATACTTACATAATATCTTTTGCCTGTAATTCTTTTTCTAAATCGTGCACTCGGGTATTGAGGTTAATGATTTGTTGTGCGCTTTCTCCTCTACGTCTGTGGAGCGACGTTAGCTCCTCTTGCTGTACAAGTATTTTCTGTTCTAAAGCTTGTATCCTTTCATTGTTACCGCTACCTGAAATATTTTTATTTAGTTTAATTAGTTACTTTCATTGCAAATAAGACTAAAATATTACCGTTATAGCCTAAATATTATAATGAAACTGTTTTTTTCTTGCTTCCTGTAAAATGATTAATGCTTAACAATGTTTTGGTTAGGAAATCAATTTGTGTAGGAATCTATGCAAAAACGTAAATATTGAGGAAAATTGATATTTTTTAACTACATTGAAACTTATTGCCTTATATTCAACTTAAATTATAGTTAATCACTATTGATTGCAGAAACACAGAAATCGTTAATTATGTAAATAAGTGTAGGTGCTACACTAAAATTAGAACAGTTATTTCTTACTACTAATTAATGTATTGCGATATGAATCATGTAAGTAACACATTACTTAGTAAATTACTCCAATCTTCATCACTTGAATCCATTGTTATCACTGTTTTTAATAAACTTACTGTGCTCACAACGAAATGTTAATATGTATGATACATGAGGTAAGTGAGGGTAGTCATATTTTTTATATTTTCTCATAGTGAATGGTATTGAGTTACTGTCAAATTGCAATAGGAGCTCATGATACCTTCATTTTCATAATCATTTTAACATTATACTTACCACCAGGCGATAGAACATTATCTGTGCTTGAATATCTAATTCTCTCATTAACTAACGTCAACTGTAAATTTTCATTCTTCAGAGTATTCACATTGTCAAACAGTCTACTTTCTGAAAATAAAAGAATAATTTATTCACTGTGAGTTATTCAATTTCAAATTAATAACAATAAACCTTTACCAATTTAGTTTAAGACATAAATAAGTTAGTAACATTCTATCATGGTCAGCATAATTTATGCTAGTAACTTTGAATACTTAATAGAAATTGCATATTTATGTTGATATCAATTTTGATCATTCTGAGTTTTTATTTTAACATAGCTGGCAATTTAGACTGTTGTTAACTTTCTATTACTAAAGATTTATGGATAACAGGACGTATAGTTTAAAATAATCAAGTCTAAACAAAAATATATCAGATAAGTTACATTATTATCTTTTAATTTGATCTGTGTGTAGTTGAAGTAGGTTAATTTTATGATGCTAGACTAGAAGATAAGGGAACATCTAAAACAAATAACGGTGAAACAATGGCTTAGAGATTAATCTTCAGAAATACATTTCCAATGTCAACAAATAGACAAAGGCTATTTTAATTATAGGTTATGTTACTTACGAAAAGTAATAATATCCTGGAAAGCAGTCGTTTCATACTTATTCCTGGCTTGGAGCTGACTTATAATGGTACTTCTCCATTCACCTCCTTCCATTTTGACTTGATTTATAGGAATTAATGTAAATTAATTAAAACTTTAAATCAAAACAAACAGATGTCATGATGTTGCAATACCACTAGCTTAATTATTTGAAATAGTTCAAAGTAATTATTCGGACAACTTATAACATTATTTTTAAGTTGATATCTTTAATTATACACACAGAAAAATATTAAAATCAGTAAACTATTTTTTCGTGCCAATCGCAGTTTATCAAAAACTATTGAAGTTGACTTTGACATTTGTTTGTTAGTGTTGTCAAATTTGACGCTAAAGACGTTAGCCTGCTGGTTTGCGAAGACTGTTCCTTGTATTAAACATTGTCTATGGTATATTTTTGATCATTGATGATATAACAAAATAGAGAGACCACTGGGCCCCGATTGTAGTAAAAATCTTTAGCTGCACAATGCAACTGACGGGAAAGTGAATTAATTTTGAATTTCTATAGAGTTACGGCGATATTACGGCCCATAAAATAAAGACATCGTCAATCCTACTAGTATCCTACTAATATTATAAATGTGAAAGTTTACATCGTATAGCCTGACCAGGAACATAAAAACCCTGGCATAGAGGCGCTTCAATTGCATTTGATAGTGCAACACTGAGTACAGTCGTACATGTGTTAAATTAATAGGCTAAATTTATGTATCAGGATTCAGGATTACGGGCTAATTTGATATTTTCATAAATGAACGAAAAATATTATTAAAGGTAACCTGGTTTAAATAAATTAAATGAAACCATCAATCGAGCTAGTAGGATTTATTTTATTATTCATCAATAAACAAATTCAAAATTTGAATATTCAACTGCAATGTCTGCTCATGAACGCTTCAAACTCGGTACTTCTTTCCCAATTCCATAAAATTCAAAACTTAGAAAGTGACAAAAACTTTAAAATAGGTAGTTGAAACAGACTACAGCTAATTTTCATAGTGGACTGTACTATACGATAAACATGTCAGTCAATTTGACAACCTTTGTCGGAAACATTATTCAATGAAAATATTGTCCGAACCCTTAGTATTTCTCTTCGACAAATACATTAACACATCGTGAACCACTTTTCTTTCAAGACTATAAAAATATTTTAGCAATTTAATTCACAAAATCAATTGCACACATTTAAAATAAAGTTTGTTTACACTTTGACAACAATAGACTGACATGCAAGGTGACATGTCAATGAAGTTTTCAGTTACTGTTGCCATTAAAAGAAATTAGTACCATTAGTTTTCCGCAACATGGCGAGGGTTTTTATGTTCCTGGTCAGGCTATACCTAACTTCCTGATTGAATTATAAGGACATCAGTGACAATTCCCATAATCATCGTGGACTTCGACTGTTACTATCCAATTAGGGATTCAAGATTCAATTATAAGTTTTGAGAGTCAGAGCTCAGAGCTCAAGGTAGGTATGCGCTCGGCTTCCAAATTAATTTGTATCCAATAATATGATTTAGGATGGATTAAGGTGTTATTCGGCAATTAGTCATTCGCTACCACTTAGTAATTTCTTCAAAATCTTGTTTAACTACCTATTTGTACTTACTTATCTGAAATTCGTTAATAGTACGAGAGGGGGACCTTAAAAAACCCTACGTGATTTGATACAAGTAAGTAGGCTCCATGGCACACGTTCAGAAAAGTTGTGCTAAGCTTGGAACAAATTATTTATTAAACTCCGATTTGATAGATAAGAGTACTTACCTACTTAGGTCTTTCTTTCGTAGTACTTAACCTAAGTAGACACACGTAGGCATCTTGATTTCACCTTAAATAAGTTACTTTACTAAATATAACATAAAATTCTAAATGCGGGAGGACAAAATTTCCGAAGTCACTCGGGAAACTCGAAATTTAATCACTCCCGAGTTTCCCAAGCAACTAATGGTTTCGACAATCGACAAATCTAGGTTACCTACCTATATAAATATTTAATACGGGTATACCTACCTACGTTACCTAGGTCACGGAACCCGTGAGTGTTAGATGTAGGTACCTTCGTCCTTACCTTAGTTAGGGCAAATTATCTATGTGCCTGCTTATTAAATTGACACCACATAATTTTAATAATACCTACATAAGTTGTTTAAAAACAAGTTTCCTAAGAAAACCTTACCTACTACGCCATAAGGCACCCCTAAATTTTATTAGATCTAGATATGCATATCATGAACGTGTTTTTGTTTTTTGAAGAACCAGAGGGTCGATTACCCGCAATCTGGATTTACCCGGCCGGCGAAATGAATCTGTTTAAATTGCACCTTTTAATCCGGGCAAAGCGAATAGATGCCGACTTTGCGGCGGCGCCCGAGCGGAAAACAGCATCCTCCTTGAGCACAGCGGACCAGGAAACAGTAGAGATGCTAATTAACTCCCCAGATATCAGCGAACAATACCGTCCCTTTTGTACAGTCCGAATAATAATTCCGCTTTCTTTATTTTGTAGGGATAAGTCGGTCCAGTCTACTGACAGTTTTTATAATTTAGTTAAGCTTACTTTACTTCGATCATCTGCTTTCAATAGAGGTTACGCGTGCTAAACAGCATACATAAGTAATAGGTGTACCTATAATATGAGAAGTAAGTAGGTAAGTAAATTGTAGGTATTTAGACGAAGACTGTATGCGTATCTTTTTATCCATATTACAGCACATGTTACACAAATATTATGAAGTCATTTAACGTCTCTACCTACTTCTTAACCCATGGTCTATTAAGTTGATCTGCCATGCGGGACAAAGACCTAAAAGAAGAGATCTAAGTTAACACTACTGTGACCGTTTCGGTCTCTACCTTATTTAGACAACTTTACCCACCCAGACAGGTGATTCTGGAAACTTTATCGATTCGGCAAGAAACGGGAGATAACGGCATAGTGGCTTACGGGACTATTCCCACCTCTCTTTCCCACCACTGTAACTCCTGTGTAGCCAGATCTACTGGTTGACCGCTAACAAAAACCCAACCAGTGAAGGTCAAGTTTGTCCCGGCCGGGGGAAAGTATAAGAAAGGCCTTACTGATTCTTCTACCATATCCAGTTACAGATGAATAAGGTAGAGAGCTGGTATCCTACAAAAGTAGATTTAACGCACCTCTCTTAACCCTTAACTGGTATCGTAAATTGGACATACGCAACTGGTATCGTGGGGGCCGCGCGGCCCCCATACTATGTTTGCTTCTAGCAAGCATGTTTTACCTATATACTTGAATAAATGCTCATATATGATAAATATCAGGCTTGTTCTATGATAATTTAGTTTTTATTGTATTAAATCTTCTTACTTGTAAATTTCAAGACATTACATAATAGTAACTACTTTTTACGTAATATTTTTTTAACGTTACAAATATCTATGAAACCTATCGTTTAGAAAGTTATAGCCTGACCAGGAACATAAAAACCCTCGCCATGTTGCGGAAAACTAATGGTACTGATTTCTTTTAATGGCAACAGTAACTGAAAACTTCATTTACATGTCACCTTGCATGTCAGTCTATTGTTGTCAAAGTGTAAACAAACTTTATTTTAAATGATTGCAATTGATTTTGTGAATTAAATTGCTAAAATATTTTTATAGTCGTGAAAGAAAAGTGGTTCACGATGTGTTAATGTATTTGTCGAAGAGAAATATTAAGGGTTCGGACAATATTTTCATTGAATAATGTTTCCGACAAAGGTTGTCAAATTGACTGACATGTTTATCGTATAGTACAGTCCACTATGAAAATTAGCTGTAGTCTGTTTCAACTACCTATTTTAAAGTTTTTTGTAACTTTCTACCTTTTGAATTTTATGGAATTGGGAAAGAAGTACCGAGTTTGAAGCGTTCATGAGCAGACATTGCAGTTGAATATTCAAGTTCTGAATTTGATTATTGATGAATAATAAAATAAATCCTACTAGCTCCATTGATGGTTTCATTTAATTTATTTAAACCAGGTTACCTTTAATAATATTTTTCGTTAATTTATGAAAATATCAAATTAGCCCGTAATCCTGAATCCTGATACATAAATTTAGCCTATTAATTTAACACATGTACGACTGTACTCAGTGTTGCACTATCAAATGCAATTGAAGCGCCTCTATGCCAGGGTTTTTATGTTCCTGGTCAGGCTATATTACCAAAATTATTATTATTTTAATAAATCCATAATAATGTGAACTTAATAATAAATAACGTTTTAATGTAATGTTTCATAAAAATAATAAGCATTTTATAAAAATAAAAACATAAATATTATGTTGGCAAACATTAGCAGGTCCTGGTGGATTTTCAGACCACTTGTATTTATATTTTCATAGTAGCTGGATTGACTAGGTCCTACAACATCTTCATTTTTACTCTCCGAAGAAAAAACTTGAAAATCAGGTTCAATATACTCATTATCGACCGAATATTGGTTATTGGGTCTTCACAGTGACCTATAATTTTATTATCAATATCCTTCTTCTGACATGCTACTAATCACTAATTTGGAATCAAAAACTTCGTTTTAGGTATACTATATCTTCTATTGTTTTATCACTTATAAGCCATCAATACTACAAAAAAACAACAATCAAATAAAAATTGCCATGAAAAAAAAAAACTAACGTAACTGGTATTGTGGGGGCCGCGCGGACCCCAACACGTGCATATCTTCGTCCTGGTGAATGATGCAGTGCTGAAACGCCTGCACCAGACGCGAGTAGCGCCGATATGAGAATACCAAAAATTTTGGCTGCCCACGATGCGTAGCTTCTTAGAAATCAAAGAAAACGTCATGCGTGGGGGCCGCGCGGCCCCCACGATACCAGTTAAGGGTTAAATGAAGGCTGCTATGATCGGTAAAAATATTTAGGTAATCTGAGTAACATCTTAAAATTACAGTGTTTACTAGGATAGACTTCTATCTTGTACGAAGGTAAGGTACCTACTCTACATACAAAGTTACCTGCATTTAATGCATGCAAACTACAGCAACGGTTTTGTAGTGTTACCATAATAAATCGATTAGAAACTTTCGGAATCGCCAGGCAGCCATTGTGGTGGCAATATATTCGGCTTAATAGTGTAATTTTGTTGGCTCTCGGTAATATCTTGCGGTGGACTGGCCGGCCTCAGAAGACCTCTGACGGACGAACTTGTAACATTACAAGTTT